ACGGAGCCAACTTTCCAGAAAGCCTTTAAGCTTATAAGCGAACTCCGCGTAACTTTCGTCCGGTCCTTTCCTTGTCTCTCGAAATTTCTGTCGAAAAGCTTCAGGCGACAACCTGAACTTCCTAAGCAGGCATGACTTTACGGACGCGTAGTCATCGGCTGCTGTAGGATCTAGTCGGGCCAAAACGTCGGCCACCTCCGCTGGCAGTAAACTCAAGAGCCTTTGAGGCCAGCTCGACTCTACAAGACCCATCTTAACGCAAACCCGTTCGAAATTTACTAAATAGAGACCCATGTCTCCGCCGACGCGAAAAGGTTGCAAAAGGGCTCGCATGTCAAACTTTTTCGAGCTGTTATCCACCACAATGGCCTCACCAGCGTCAAGGTTACGTTGAAGCATCTCTAGCTCAAGTTTTTCTCGAGCAACGCGAAGCCCTTCTTGAGCCGCGTGAAGTTCCGATTCCCTTCGTCTCTTCTGCACCTCGCTCCAACACTCGGAAATTTCGTCGGCGCCCGCGCCACAATCTTCAATGGCCTTGATAATCTCGGGCTTTCTCATGGCCTTGACCACTTTAACACCCAGCTCTTCCGCTAAGAGCATTAAATCGGGCTTCACAATCGCCGCGAGATTTATCGGATCCATGTTCAGAAATTTCCAAAAAAGTTTGGCTACTTTTGCCCAGCGCCCGTATCAACCGTTTGGCGACACCACAGAACTAACTGCCTTAAACACTTAAGCTGCTCGGTGAACAGAAAGGAAGCCTCAGGCACTCACCGACAGCACCCATGGAACCCGGCGTCGTCGATCCATCCCACCGCTGCCACCAGCTGTTACGTTTCTCCGGGAGAATCGACGAATCCGGAGACCGACGTTTATTTGGCAGCGTTTATTGTTCGGCAGCCGGAACCAAAAGAGCGCAAAGCTTGCCGGCGATGTCGCTTATATCGGCAGCAAGCACCAGAGGTACGCCCCCCTGACTCAGCAGTTCTGCCGCGGCCGCGACAGCGATAAGCGATAACATCGCAACGTAACAGCTTAGCCTATTCCCACAGTTCATCGCCGACGGACGAACGACTCTAAAAAAATCGCCGAAGTTCTCGCTATGCACTGGACATCAGGTTCATGAATTTCACTCCGCGATAGCATTGATAAAAGGTTCCGTTTCCACGGGACGACTGGCGGAGGCTCCGTGATCGAATTGGGCTACGCACTCGTACTCGTAGCCTCTGTACCCCGCAGAAAAGCGCGCTTGACGAGGCAGCTCTGGCTTGGTTTAATCTGAAATAAAATGATTGGACACTTTTTCTTTTTCAATATTTCTTTCCAGGAGCACGGTTGCGCTATAAGAACGTGGAATTCTACGGCTCTAGTAAATTTAACCAAGATCATGCGCGGTGTTCACTCGAAAACGTAACACACGACTAAATTCGGTCCGAGTAGGTCATTTTTAGCGTACGCTATACTATTGCGTATTGCGTACGCAAGATCCAGCAACGCTATACTAAAACTGTCTATTATTATAACTTGTTTTGAAGAGAATCTAATAGGTACGCATTCGGAATAAAACTACTCTTTTTCTCCACGGGCGATGCCATCGCTTGCAACTCGCTGACAAGCGCCCTTTGTCGACCGCTTCACTCGGAAGAAAATTCTTCCCAAAAAGGGCGTCTCGCAATCTTTGAACACGCTTTTAACGAAGAAATAAGCTACGCACGCAGTTGTGGTTTCTGGTTTGTTGGGATGCTTAGAGCGTCTAGATTGAGTTGTCACCCCGAAGAGACGATCTCAGAATTGACTTTAGTGCCTCTTTAAGGGTGAAAGGAAGTATAGTACTTGGTTTACACTACATTTTGTAGCACAAACTAAGGCCCACGTACTCCGCACACCTACGTTCGGACTCGCCTCAGCAACCGCGCACGCATTGGCTTCCTCCCCTGGTGTCGTGCACGTCGCCCGTGTGGGTATCGCGTGCAATTGCAAAGTTGCAAGGTATAGGGAGTACTCACTGGCGGCAATAGCTGTGTGCGCGACTGCTGAGCGCGTGCTGATGGCGAGCTTCCAAAGTTCTTTTGCAGCGTGCATTCCGCACCATCAAGATTGCTGGTCTTAGCAGCCTATCAATGTGGGCTCGTTGTGAGCATGCGCTCTAAACATCGCCCTCAAATATGGCGTTCAGTGAATACTTCCTGTATTCCCCCGCACTGACACCAGTCGTGACGTCAATTTATGACCTTTTTGAATATAGCAAGAGTGTGCGTGCATATATTTCATAGGCGCTGCAGATGCGCGCGAGCGGGGACTCCAAAAACTCCTAATATGACGTCACGCCCCAGGAAAGAGGGGCTTCAGCGGCACTTTGAAATTTAATTTCTGCCACCTCCGTGCACTAAACTAAAAGCTAATCTCGATATCCGTGATCCGGGAGGTCAAATTAAGACGGCTGAAGTGTTTTTCCTCAAGTACAGAACCGCTTCAGTTTTCCTTTAAAACAAGTTAGTCGTTGGATATTTAGACATCACGAGTTATGCTACGGTCAGACTGCGTACGCAACGCCATGTGCATACACCTTAAGATACGTTCATTCACACCTACGTCACTTCCTTCTTCCTAGGCTCCTGAAAGTCCAAAGCGTGCAACATAGCCCCCCTGGGCAAATTGGCGTTCCTCATTGCATTCTAAGTTACTCAACGTTGATTCGGTGTGTATAGTATTTGTACCGGCGGGGAGGTCGAAAGTCCCAAGACCGGTACAAGGAAACAACCCCGTCACCCACAAATTTTTAGTCAATTTAGCACGTTGTAGTCTTTCTGCTTGTAGTCTGAACAAAAATGGAACGCTTGTTGCACTTACGTTTGCGCGTGTTATGCGAAATCGGCACGTTGCGTTCGTAGCGTAATCATCGCATAAATCTAGCAGAATCTGACGACATTGTTACTTCCTATGGACGTTTCCACTTTTAACAAAATCCACAGTTCACAAATGCTAAATCACATCCCAGCCAGCGCTTGCTCGCAAAAGACCCTTTCTATAGTGCCTTCATACACACGCGCGCTTTTGCTTGAGTGGTGACATCTTAGCTATTTTTCCGCCCAAAAGTTTTTTTTATATATTTTGAAGTGTGCCCAATCCGGTGTCACTCAGCTCGAGCGCGTAGCTTTGGCTAATGCATAGACGCCATTTCACCACCCAAGTCACGCACCGAGTGCGCGAGAGCGTCACACACTGGCACATTCAGGGCAACAATAGATGTTTTCACTTTCAGTAGGCACCCTAACCCTTTCTAGAGTGCCTTCATACACACGCGCGCTTTTGCTTGAGTGGTGACATCTCAGCCATTTTTCCGCCCAGTCGTTTTTTTATGCATTTTGAAGTGCGCGCAATCCGGTGTCAGTCAGCTCGAGCGCGTAGCTTCGGCTAACGCATAGACGCCATTTTACCGCCCTAGTCACGCACCGAGCGCTCGAGAGCGTCACGCGCTGACACTTCCAGGGCAACAATGGATGTCTTCACCCTGAGACAGACAGACATGTAGGCACCCTAACCCTTTCCGAACTTCAGTGCCATCTGGTGGCTCGTATAGCAGTTTATCTTTTGCCATGCCAATAGCTGTAACGAACTTTTATACAACGTTACTTGTATATTATCGGGCACCGCCAGATTCGCAAGTCAACGGCCGGCGAGGAATTGTTCCATGCGTAGTTTTCTCGATCACTTTTAGTTTGATGGTGTCGAAGGACCGGCAGCAGTGAGAACAAAGCTCCAGCGCACTCAGACGCCTCGATAAAATTCTATACACCAAAGGGCTTTGAATCCGATTGTGTGCCGCCCACAGATTTACTGAATTTGGTACAGAAATGAAAGCTTGCATAGCTCTTGTGTTCCATTCCTACGTTGCCTCGTACAAACCCCCGAAGGTACAGGTCTCGCATCATCCGCTTAGGAGCATCTTCAATGTTTATAATGCAATTAAATGCAAAGGTGCAAGCGAGCTGGACAAGAATGACGAAAATAATCCCTGGAGAAGGGGAACAAGAGGGACAAAGGTGTTTGTCCTTTGTCCCTCTTGTTCCCCTTCTCCAGGGATTATTTTCGTCATCTTCAATGTATTCCTTTATCAGTCACTAGAAAGCCGCCATTGGTGCGGCACAGATGACTTTCCACAGATGATGATAGTGATCAAAGTGACCAGAACGTGCGCGTGCATAACACACAAAACACAGCAAAGAACGCGCCCTCCCTCATACGCTTTTATGGAAATGTATAGATATGTGAAATTTAACCGATACAGTATGACTGCTAGCCTGGGGGTCTTTATAGGGATACTGCAACAAAATTTCGGCGCTTATTCCTTGATCTATACTTGATCTATTCGATTTATATCTTGATTTACACTCCTGCCTCCCGCTGACGGCAGATGTTTTTTTTTTTTTTTTTTTTTATTGTTGCTAGTAGAGATTTTACCTTTGAAAAACACGATGAGGGCCAAAATTGTAACGTCAATAACTTCGCAAAAGACATTTATTTTGGGCCAATATTTGGGTTATATTTCAACGAGGTTTGTCGGTGTGTTTAGCAAATTTTCTGGCAAATGGGAGACTATAAATAACACCTCGGAGTCCCCTTTTCGCGCCGATTATGCAGTAGTGATACACGGCCGCACGCACGCGGTACGACGCTCAGCCAGATCGAATGGGGCAGGCGGGGTTTGAACATAAAATTACAGTTCTTTGCAGCGCGCGGCTGTTTCAAGTAATAGTGTAAACATTTATCAAAACAACTTATTACGCGAAAGACGACGACAAAAAAATGCGCTGCGGCTGCTCGTGGTGCACGTGGATTCGGCGCTAGCGCCCAGCGGTCGATACGCTGGGACTAAATTCTTTCCAGTGTGTTGTCCACTGGAAGGCCGTCACCGGTTACCTTCACTGACACTCTCTCATTTCTGCCCTCTTCTTTCGCCACCGACATTGTTCTTGCATACTTCGCCCCGCAAACCTGCGATGTTCCTAGCAACCATTGTGTCCACTTTGATTCTCATCGCAACCATCTACTACCTGTTCAACCGGTCCATGAAAAAGCAGACATCCAAGACTTCGTCCAGCACGGCCTTGACCTCGGACCCTGGAAAGGGAACGCTCTTCTCCAAACTGATCCCGAAGCAGACGACAATGACCACGTACACAGTGACCACGACGATGTGTCCGCCGCCCGATGACCTCAGAGGGCAGATGGTAGCGCTGAAGGCGACAGGAGACGTACCTCTTGCTGATGGCGAAGATTTGGACTTCGGCAAAGAGCACCGGAAGCAGGAACTGGATGCGCATAGTTACGGAGAGGGGATGCAACAACTTTGCCAAGGTAAATTTGTCTTTTTTATGGTATACGAAATTATCAGTTTAAACGCAAATATACAAAACTTTCACGTTACTTCACCGCATCATACTGGTGGTCATTGCTACTCGTTCTTGCTAAAGATATACTGATATGATGGTATGAAATGTGCGCTCCAGATGGCACGCACTTAGCAGCAAGGCTACGACAATGGCCTCTGATATGACATCAGTGCAAGACACGTGCAGGTGGTATTCAGTGGGCTCCATATTTGAGCGTGGGACTCTCAGCTAATGATTAGAACGAGCCCCACTTGTGCCCTCCAAAGAACTACAATATTGGTGGTCTGGAATGCATGTTGCGGAAGCATTGTAGAAGCTCATCACAATCTCTAGCTCAGCAGCAACAGACTTAACATGTCCGTCAGTGAAACCGTCTATACTTAAATTTAATGGGTAACAATGTGGTTGTCTTGCTGCAAAGAGCGTATTTATTCTACAGCGAACATTTCACTCCGCCGACTTCTTTCTCCTAGTCAAACGCGAGTACGAATGCATGACCAGCAGCATTTTGCGATCGCATCATATACTTAATGTTTCATGCTCAGCTCTTTGGTCTGGAACTATCTAAGTGTGTCAGGCTTGGAACAGTTAGAATATATTCAGAGGAGGCCGTCACACGTTGTGTAGAACCGTTATTACGGTCGGCGGGATCTTTTTTTTTTCTTTTTAGTCACGAGCTATTGTATAGTATGATGTTGCAGACATTAGTAGCTCGGCGAAATTTTCGAGACTGTATTTTTGCATAAAGCTGTACATGTAACATTAAGTTGTTCTGAACCTGTGTATCCGATCTCTTTATATGTTCCACACGTGAGCAATCGCAACCCCAACACGTTCTATGTGCAAGGCCTATGTTCACTTCTCCCATCTTGCGTATTCAAAGTAGTTATAATACCCTTAGCGCGGAGGTCGATATCTTTGATAGTGAACGCTCATTTGAAAAATAATTGGGGGTTGTGTGGATATTTATACAGCGTGTAGTTGGCCAGCTATTTCAAAGTTGCGACGAGTCTCTCGCTGTAGATAAGCAATTTAGCCGGTGCAGTACAACCGCTAGCCTGCGGTCTTTAACTGGTACCACGCAGTAGTGATACACGACCGCACGCCGATACGATGCTCATCTAGATCGAAACGGGCAGGGGTGGGGATTGAGCCCAGGATCCCTGGGTTCTGCAGTGCGAACTCTCACTCCAAGTGCTCCGAGCTGATGTGCGCTAGCCGGCTCGGCCACTGAGGAGGAGGAAGAGGAAACTTTATTGGTCTTCTGGGATCAGGTATTGGGGGGGAAGGGGGGGGGGGAGAGGGGGGGGAGGCCCAGAGGGTCGCCGCGACCGCCAGGGCCAGAGAGGTGGCCAGGGCTTGGGCTGACTCCTCCCGGTCGCGCAACTTCTGCTCCCAGAGGTGAGGGGAGGGAAGAGGGGGGTATGGGTATGCGGGGCATTCGCAAAGGGAATGGTAGTGAGTGTCGAGTGCCCCGCAAGCAGGAAAGCGGGGTGGTATAGAGGTGTGGGTGAGTGTGTCTTAGTTGTGTTTGGTGGGGGAAAGTGTGTGCTTGTAGGAGGCGCAGCATGTGTGCTGCCTCTTGGAAGAGGTGTGGGTACGGGGGTGGGTATTGGCGGCGGAGGAGGCGGTAGTGCAGGGTAATATCCGTGTGTTGCAGGAGGGAGGTAGGCTTCCCTGCAGGGGCTTCACGTGTAGGTGTAGTTGAAATGGCGGCTCGGTCGATAAGTTCGCGAGCACGATCGTGCACCATCTCATTAGCGCCTACGCCTGTGTGCTCATATAAGCTCATACATAATCTAATTTCATGGGTGAGTTGTATGCGTGAGAGCCTCTTAGTTTGTTCAGATATATATCTATATAGGTCCCTAATAGTCAGTCTGCACAAAAATTCTTATGCGAGAAACACGACAAATACTGTTTTACTAGGATTCGACCGAGTAATAAAAAATCACTATAATTTCATAGTTGGAAAAAAAATTGTGCCACTGTAGTAAATGTTACCTATTTTATACAACGGACAGAAAAAGCTACTGCCAACATAGTGTTGCGTGCAGCTCAAAACTGGAGTATGTGCATACCGCAGTTCACGCACATTAAGCGTCCTTAATAGACTAAAACCCTAAAACTAGAGGAAACGATGGACAACACGACACAGAAGTTTAATTTGAGACTTCTGTGGCATGTCATCCCTTGTTTTTCTTAGACTCGGGGTTGTCATTTGCGGATTGTTTGATCCCAAATTATGTCTAAACTTACTAAAGGATTTGTGACCCCGTGAAATCGGACACATTTCACAAAAGGAGAATGATTCGTGGATAGATGTTTCTGTATAAAATTGAAAATTTTATAATTTATTCTCCAGCACTACTAACTCATGTCTACTTGCGCGTTCCTCGTATGTCTAGTGAATTTTATTCTTTGTTTTATCCTTCCGATTTATATCACGCAGCACCGATGACACGCCTCAATTGACATTTAATCATTTAATGCAAATTTGTGGGAATGTTAGCCTAGATATTTTTGATGAAGTGTGTAAATTTAGAAACTGTGTTGCTACCATTGTTTTGTCTTAACTTTCCATTTTTTATTTTGTCCGAACAACCATACTAGTATCTGACATTGATAAGTGCAACACTAAGGAGGCGTCAATCTGTTTGTGGGTCACTAAAGATAAATAAGTACATAGTCTTTATGTTCAACCATCAACAGCTTGTTTGTGCCCCAACTTTCTGTTTAAGCGCCATGAGAGCAGTGCAACATGGAATGAGGGTACTTGTTACAATCTCATGTCAGCAACAACCCAGAGCCAAACCACATCATGAAAAAACAAAAACAAAAAACACAAACTGCCCTGTAAAGTTTAGATGTGTACAGCTTGTTTTTCAGCACATGTTGAACAAGAGTTACCAGGACGATTATTTACCTATTATTTGTCGAGCTTCGAGATCAGGCTCCTCCTAATCTCCATGCCAGGCGCTCATAGTATTGGTTCCAGTTCTCAAAACTTCGAAGCACTCCATCTCACCAAGCTCAAGTATGGTGTTCGATATTACAGCTAGGTGCTCGAATATTTCCAAAGTGCTTGAAGTAGCTGTAAAATAAAACCTGTCTCAGTTCAATAGTTTGAAGAGTAGTTCAGAGTGCATGAGCAAACTAGGGGCAAATAACCTTACTGCATAAACGTTATACTGTAAACTGGAACATTTTTAATTGATATAGAGTCTAAAATATTGTGATAACGCATCTGTTTCTTGCCGGATTTCAACTGAAGTTTGAGTATGTTTCATTAAGGTTGAATTTGTAGCCTCATGCAGTATTCGTAGAACACTTAACCACGTCGTTGTCATACGCCTGAAATAAGTCTAAAAAGAGCTGTAGATGTCACAAAGAACCGTATGACCACTCATCTGGATTTGCTACACAACTGCATGCAACTTGGTAGCATGCTGGGGTGGCATTGAAAAGATAGCTTTTCCCTAATGTTTCGAGTTAGATAAATGTGGCGTGTGAAATAAGAAAAGTCATTGAAATGTTCGCCTCTATCTTGGAACTCATAGCTTCGGAAAATCTGTTTAATATTTGCCTGCAGATTACTTACTTTATAGTCACTGCCATGTACAAAAGGAAGAACCATCTTCTCAGAAGAAAAGGTAGTTCGTCTATGCAAAGCTCAAGACCCAGCATTCTCTTTTCTATGTAGTGTGCTAAACAGATACCTTATTATATGCACATGTTGTATGTGCCTTTCACAAACACAATAAAAAATGCTTCATCATAATTCTGCATAAAATCTTTCAAACACTCGTTGTGTACTTGCGTGTTCTATTTCTTGACACCCTCATTTGCAAAATCAGGCGACGGGTTGAAAGAAAATTAAACAAGGGCTCTTCTGTTTTAAGAACGGCGACTCAAAATAATGACTCGATGGGTGCTTGCTTCATCTGCACACCGTCCGTTCACAGTCCTCAAAGATTTGTTATTTAAAAACACGAATATTTTGTCATTTAAGTGTTGATGATATTGGTCTTTACTTTCTAATGAGTTCATTGGGACGTGCATTAGTTTAAAAATATATTTTACTTAAATATTGCAACATTCTTTGTACTGGCACACAAACATATTGAATGGCTTATGAGCTATGTCCAAAAAAATGTCAGTTCCACAGAAAGCCACAATGAGTGGAACTAAAACAGTGGCAGAAAATCTTCACATGCGTCCTGCCTGCACCCCTCATATGGCCTATCCAGTCCGGAAATGATGCCATTGGAGCACATGACTCCTTTGTACTTGGTGCAATGACACCTCTTGCGCCCCGCGAAAAAAGCTTCCGCTGGTGCCATGTCGGCCGACACATGGTCCTGGCAGTTCCGTCGATAAGCCCTCAGCAGTTTGTCAATGAAGCTCCCTGGTTGTGGGCGGCCTGAAATAAAAATAAAGTGATTGGTTAAAATATATTTGCTGATGTTTCGTTGTGTTTAGGAAGGGATCTAGACAGATCACAGGAAAAATAATGGGATAAAAACATCCTATCACATTATTACTTGACCTTACGACGAGTGTAAACATATAATCCTAAACGTTTAGGAGCACTATTTTTTCATTAGGGTTACGTACGTTTTCTTATTCGTCTTATGATTTATTACACTTGCATTAAAGCTATAACATCATTGACGTTAAGGCAAGTAGGCAGGCAAGTTGGCTAAGGATAGACACATAGGGGACAAAAAGGGACGGGCAGACGCCAAACTCCGAAATTTGTGTATGTCCGTCCCTTTTTGTCCCCTAGCTTCAGGGTTACTATGTCTATAACATCATATCCTGAGCGATACCCGAGTGCAAAAAAATTAGCATCTCATTTACATTCAGTTTGCTGCACTTAAGTAAAAACTGAGAAATAGCCTACAACTAAATGGGATATTAGTGATAGTCAAGCGATTTAAGCATTGGAAAGACCGGCCAAACAAGTTTTTGACTAGAAGTGTTTTTTGTTTTGTTTTTTATTAGCATTGTGCGAGCAAATTTTCAAATAGCACTTTTAAATATAACGCTATTCGATATTCACTTCGATATGAAATGCGATATTCGTAAGTTTCGAAGCGTTCAGTGCGCCAGGTTAGAAACGTCGAGCGCGCTTCTTACCGAGCATTGGTGCACTGCGGAGAAGCAACGACTGCGAAGCTCGTTTCCACGGGAGTTGCTTTTTCGCAGTGCACGGGTGCCCGCTAAAAACCACATTGAGCGGAGTTAAACCGCCGCGATCAACACTTCGAAAAGCACAAATATCGTAACCCGGTGACCAGGTGAAAAGCACTGTTTCAAAGCAGGATGGCGCACGCGAACGCTTGGTGTATATAAAAAGAAACGTATACTTTGTGAATGTTGTTGTTTGCATTGCAAGAAAACTTTCAGGAGTAAACTGGTTGTTGTGCACCAGTGTATTCTAGTTAAGAAGCGATGCACTCCGATCCTGCATTATATTGCGTAATTGAGATAAAATAATTTAATACAGCAAGCATATTTATAAACCCCCTTTATTAGGTATAGTGGGACATGTCTGTAGGTTTAATTTTATGTGAAATTCGCCATTTAATTGCATCAAATTATAGGCGTTGAAGTTTCTGAGGCTACAGTCAATAAGTATAGTCAGATAAAAACAACTCCATTTAGAAATAGACAAGCGGAAGCTTGAGTGCAATTCCTTCGCAAGTTCAGCTGGGTTTTTGTTTAAGCATGGTGTAATAGTGAAAGGCTAAAATAAACTGTTTTATATTCATTAAAAAAATCTTCCCCAAAAACAACTGTTCGCTTCGAACGAAAAACCCATCATTCGCGCCTGAATATTTCTTGATTAAATAGTGAGCAGTTCTCCTCTGGATTTATCATCCTGCCCTTCTTCACCACTTCTGGCTTTGGTGAATCTTTTGGGACAGATATTTTAAGTTAAACTTCTTGCCTTAGGTATTCCAAAACATTTGTCGTCCCTGTTGTTTTCCCAAAGCATGTGTTCCCAGAGGATTTTTTTCTACCGGAGAATGTTTTTCCGGAGGATGTCGTGCCTTGTTGCAACTTTTATGCCCCCTAAACATTCTAGGGACGTGTGTTTTGGTTTTCGCAAGTTTTCAAGTGTTTTGCAGTACTCATGCATGCACGCGCGGGATTTAGGTGTTTTGCAGTTAGAGCCGCCTTCTTATATAGAGGAAAGGGCGTTGTTCACCTCCGCGAAAATGTCAGGCTGCTCAGGGTTAGGACAGCTGTGTGCTGTCAGATCCCTAAGCAGGTGACTTAACGTGTGCGCGATGTGACTATGCACCTGGTTGGAGAAGAGAGAAAGCGTCAAAGAGTGGTGGCAGAAAATTAGCTAAAGGTCGCAGAGGTGGTTGAGGTAGGCCAGCCTCCTCAGCCCGATCGAGAGGGCCTCGTCTCCTGACAGCCGGACCCATGGAGCCATTGGTTGTGAACGTCTCCGAAATGGCCAGACCTGAACTGCCGTATGACGTCCTCCTCGTCCATCGACGCCCGGTCGAATGTTTCATGCCTTGCCGCCAGCAAGCGTTTTCTCTTAGTGCGCAGACAGTCGTACACAATAACCTCTTTCTAAATTGCTTTCGCCGAATAGAGCCAACTCCAAGTCATCCCCGAAAAGGTCGAGCGCCCTCATTGTCGGAAGGCTCGTCTGCTCCTTTAGCAGACGAACATTTCAGAACCTCGCAGGGCCAGTGGCGACACGCCGTAGGGCGTCAGGTTTTGTATCACGGAAGTGTATTCATTCAAAAACACGGGACGAACTATGAGTAAATATACACAGTTTTAGGTTTTCTATATTTTCAGGATTCGAATTTTATTTACTTCAGATTCTGCGGTTTGTACAGACACACGCAAATCTGCACAATGTCGATGAAGCCGATGCAGGTTTCTGTTGCCAGGGGGTGCGACCTGTACCGATGGTCTGTAGATCGTCTGCAAATACTGGTCCCCCAAAACCGTTTCAAAGCACACGAAATATCCACACGCGCGATTCAAGGTATCGATTGTTTTTGTTTATCGATCGTGTTTTTTTTTTCGGTTCCCTAAAACTCTCTAGTGTCGAAAGCTCGTGCCGGAACGAAAAAAAAAAAGCGTTCGGGACTAAACGATCAGGTGTCATCACCCTATGCACCCCTCATATGAAGGCATCTAGAAAGAAAAAAAAAAGAAAAGCTAATGGAGAAGACATAGTAAGAAACGCAAAAAAAGTACACGCTACCTGCATCAAAGCTTAGGGTATTTTGAATTAACAAGTATTAAGGCCGGTTCCCGCATGCAGCGAATAAATGATGTAGCGCTGCTCATGTGTTGTCAGCTACTTATCGTCTACTATGAGCAACAAATCTGACGGTGCGATAAAAAGCTGGTGAACGCTCCCGTCAGCACGCGCCTAGCGCGAGGTCAGCGCTATGCTTGTAGAGTTCCGCTGCTTGTGTCAACAGGCCTTTAGTCAGACAACTAATCGGCGGTTTCGTGGCCTTGTATTCATTCTCAGTGGTTAGCAAAAGCCCAAGAAGGCGGTGCAGTCCAATTTCTTCATTTGTTCTCAGGTATAGCTGTATCCTCATCTCTTTTTTTCCTTTGAGAGTCGTGTGTATTGCAGTTGCATGGCGTGTGGTTATTGTTTTGTTGTGAAGATCACATAGATGACTCTTATTTGCTGTACGGCAAGAAATTTAGGAAGAGGAGGAAACGAGGGTACGGGAGGATGTCAGAACACTGATCTCTGGTTGGAATGGTTAATGGGTAGACGGGCAAATCTAGCTGCCTTTGTCACGACTGAAGGCTCTGTTATACGCCGACGTTGGGCGCAGCGAATGCAGCGTAGCGCAGAACGCGCGCGTTTTATTGGCCGGTGAGCAGGAACTTGATGTCTGCAACCAATCAGTATTTGTGTGCGCTACGCTTCGCCGCGTTTGCTGCGCTTGACGTCGGAGTATAACAGAGCCTCCTTCGAACGCGTTCGAACGCGAACACCAACGCCGAAAGCAGGATACCAGCGTTTGAACGCAGGACGACGGCATTCGAACACTTTCGAAGAGTGAGTAGAGACAAGGGCTTGCGCCTCCCGACTAATCATTCCAACCAAAACTGGGTGTTCCAAGGTCCCCACACGCTATCGCCACCTCCTTTCCCCTCAAATTTTCGCCGATCTCAAACGGAGGTATTTTTAGTGTACGCTATATCGAGACGCAGTCCATGAATTGTCGTTTCTTTACCACTTAAAAGTCCTTGTAGCATATATGAATCTTTTTTTTATCAATATATCTTAGGTATCTGTAGTAGGTACTAAGATATATACTGCATATATGGTATGGTATATGACGATATTGCGTATATAACCTTGACGTCAAATTATCACGTGACCTCTTGATGTCATGTAAAACTGTGACGTCGCTCATACAGTACGTAGCCAGCTCATTCGCAACCCATTCTGTGCGTCTGCGAGTTTATCAGACGTGATCAACGCCTATGCTTAAATTTTATGTTTTCACAGGTGCTCCACCAACGCTGGCGGAAATGCAGCAGCACCAGGATCCGAGTGACTTACCTCTGGAATCGCTGGTCATCAATGACAAGGCGTAAGCATTTCTAAAGGAGTATTTCCAGACTAGCATAGCTAAAAGTGCTCGAATGTAACCTACCCGAGATGCACTCCGTACCTAATTTGGAAATACCCATGAGTCTACTCCCCCGGACAGAACCCTCCGTGCCAATCACCGTGACCTACGAATAAGGAGGTCGAAAAAGTGCGTATACTTGAAAATTAGATTTTGTAATGTTACACTGAGCACGCCATAATCACATAAACGTCGTGCTCAAAGTCCTATTGCGGACTTTATGCATGGTTATAAATATATGTTCGCTTCGTCGCTATCTGAGCTCACTCTCTAGGTCAGGTGTGCAGAACTAAAACATTAGGCGGGCCAAAATTACGTTTATAAAAAACTGTGCGGTTAGCGCCTAGTGCGACGTGTTATCTATTTTGGTTGTGGTCAGGCTTCCGATTTTAGGTGTCATCGCACTCGTTACCGTCTTTAGCACATCTCGGAATGTCATGCCCGTCATGGCAGATCGAAGGCGGTTCTCGTTGAGAGTCATCAGTGAAAAGGTCTACTCACAAACACTCGTGCTCCCAGTTTCAAGGCGTGGTCCACCAGGTTTCCCTACTTGTTCTTGTCCAAGTTTTTGTTGAACTCATGCAGCTGAGATTCTCGATGCATAGTCTTCAGCGCGTGGACACTGGAGGTAGATGAGCTCCACTTTCATCGTCTGATCGGAGTCCTCCGATTCGTCGACGCAACCCCTAACTATCCAAAATGGAAATGAGAGGCTTGACAGCCTCCGTGCTGAAAGAGGGAAGGGGATCTGTTGAGAGAGAGCAAGAAGTTCTCGCGTTCCGTGTACAGACATGTTGTGACTGTACCACACCATGGTAAGGAACGACTGCACACGCTGTGTTATTGTTGTCAGCGGGATTAGTGAAGAGGAAAAATTTAAACTGAGAAATTGTAGTTCCTTCGCCGGAGACTGAGAAAAGTAGGTCAGAGGGTTTCACTGCTGCTTGCCAAGCGGAGCGGACGCTCGCTGTGAATGACATCGTAAGCAATTTCCTGCGCTGAGCCGGACCTCGGGCCCTATGTTGTGCACCCGTTCTCTAGATAGCAGTGGTTGGCAATCAAAGTGATCTGCGCTAAAGTAGAGGCATGGGAATGTTTAGAATGATTGACTGCTTTACATTTATAGGGGTATGGAACCGATATGACATGTCCGCCAGTTTTCTACCTCTCGCTTGAAAATCGGTCAGCTAGAAGCGCAAGGCGTATTGCGCACGTGACGTCAAGGTTCTCTGCACGGCCAAGGGTACTGTAGTTGCGAGGTTTGCCGCTTGGTGCCGTCAATGCGTGACAGTCTCGTCTAGTAGTAATATCCGAGGACTGTGCACCCTATGGCCTATATACAGCTTGCCCATAACGTCCCTGCGGCCATGCCGGTATTTTATATGGCACGAGCGTTCGGTCATAGCCTCCTTTATACTGGAAATCCCTGCCCGATTTCTGGCTTCCCCATGCTTTGGCGCCGTTGCGCCTGCTTCACGTAGTGACCGCCAAGGGAACCACCTCCCCATACGAAGTAGGGTGCCTGCATGTCTGTCTGTCTCAGGGTGGGTAAAGACATCCATTGTTGCTCTGAATTTGCCAGCGTGTGACACTCTGACGCCCTCGGTGCGTGACTGAGGCTGTAAAGTGGCGTCTATTAGCCCCGAGAGCGAGCACAAGTGTCGCTGCGGTCGCCGCGCCCGGATTGGGTGAGGTGTACTGTGACGTCAGGGGGAGTACTCCGCTCCGCGATCTCGCATCGGCTCGCCTCCCAGCACCGGTTTCCTGGTTTGGCGTTGTGTGCCGCAAGCTCTTCGAGGAGCTGGACTTCGTTTACCTGGTGTGCAAGACGTTGAGTTAGGCCGGTATTGACGTGCTTCCGTACATTTTATAAGCCTGCTTGTCCCTTTTACCTTTAAGATTGGGTTACAAATCCCGAAAGCTTTCGGCGGAGGCAATTCCGCCGATGAACCTCCCCGTCCGTCCACACGACACAAGGCAATCTTGCGAGGGGTCGGTGAAGCGATGGCGCAAGCGTTTCAGACGCTGGAATTCTGTTCCTTGCACGTTCATGATTTAAGACGATATTAGATCCCGCTTTCAAGGCATTTGAAGTGGCATTTATATCATGGGCCTTTGGGTAATCGGCAAATTAGCTCGCGACCCTGACTCTGCGCTGCCACTCTGCATGCGCTGGTTCGCAGATGTTTTAAAGGCCGTGAGTCTGGCGATCTTGAAAGTGCTCGTGGAACAGGGTTGTTTTACATAAATGTAGCTTCTTCGCGAATTAATTATATAGTTTATACACGTATGCAGACATATTTCTTAGAAGCTGCACAATTACTGGAAATTAGTTTGTATGGTAGCAGCAAAAACGGCCGAATTGCCCCCAGTTGTCTGTATGATATGTATTGAACTGCCAAACTATGCACGGCAATAATGTCGTAATATGGAATGTTTATACTTTTTCCTGACATTCTTTATTCCAGCCTATTCCAAAAATACACCGTTTAGTCTGAATTGTCATTTCCAATTAAAAGAGACACTGCTGCAGGTCCCCAAAAGCTTCCTCAGCCTCCAAATTCCCTACGGCTGGACTCTCTGACATCAGAGGAAAACAGGAGTAAAAGCAAGCATTCGAACGTCTGTCCAGTGGTAGATGCAGCACTAGCAGCAGAAAATGTGGAACCTCTGAAGGGCGGCAGTCTGCGTGAGAAAAGCTTCTGGTATTTTAGCTTCAGGACAATTCGATTTAAGTAAAATCTCAATTTTAGGGCTTAAGGGGCTAATAACGAGCTAGACACCTTCGCTTACGTTTGTTATACATTACTTGAGGGTTGATACAAACAAGTCCACAAATACCGCCCGTGTAGTTCGTTGAAATACTATCCGAATCCAGCAAAGGTCAAATGCAAGCAATGTATATAATAAATGTTCCTTGATTTTTTTTTTTTTTTTTTTTTTTTACTTTTCCCCTGCACTTGGGCTGTCTTACTTGTGATTCTTTCTTGATGGCCCAGACTGTATTTAACATGTTGCTCGAGCAGCATGCAGCTTTTCTGCTTCGGCGATCTTGTTTAAAAACAGAGATACAAAAAAAAATAGTATACATAACCTGCCAATTCATTCAGACCATCAGCAGCATTTATTGTGCGAGATGTAAATCTATAGTGATGCTCCTGCAATTGTGGCCATATTTCTTTATTTTCATATACCAGCTGCGATTCATGCGTTCCCTGCCCTGTCAACCATGCTTAAAATGTTGGTTGAAGTTTCGCCTGTAGCTACAGGCCATACCTCAATAAAGGTTCATATAAAAATGTACACTTCCTACGAAAAACACGCAACAAAAAAAAATAAATAGAAACGAGCGCGCCGTCAGCTAGCGTCGTCACAGCCTCCACAGGGCGAGCGGGCCGAGTCGGGGAAAAATTCTCTCCTCGCCGTGACGTCACCCCGGTTCGCCGTAAGGGGGCGCCACGCGAACTTCTCGGGGCTAATACATCAGCCAAAGCTACGGACTCGAGCTGAGTGACACCAGATTGTGCGCACTTGAAAATGCATAGAAAAACGATTGGGTGGAAAAATGGCTCAGATGTCACCACTCAAGCAAAAGCCGCGTGTGTATGATGGCACTCTAATACAAAGAAGATGATGACTGTCTGCAACGTACCCGTACGTAATCCCAATACTTCAGAACACATATTTCATAGCGTGTGAGCAGTAGCATATTAGGGAGTTTTCTTAGATAGTTTTCGCCGTCTCGTAGCGCACTCAGCAACCCACTACGATACCCGGAACTCTACAGTCAAGGCCATCGTCGCGCAGGCGTAGGAGCAGCTTCTTTGTTGCGGAGGGTTCAGTGGAGGGCGAAAAGCGGTCTACCGAAACTCCCTAGTGTTGTGGAACATTAACGCTCGCACCGCAAAGAGCGTGCGGCAAGACGTGGGCTCACACCGCAAAGAGTGTCGTGCAAACAGTGGGCGTGTGAATGAATAGACGCCATTAGAGCTTGAGGACGGATTCTGATGAAACCCAGCCTTTGAATTGCCTTCTGCCATTACATTATGTTGTTTCCAAAAGTGAATGAATGTAGGAGACAGTAGGTATAACACAACACGAAATACAAGCCAGGCGGACGAGCAGGTGGTAAACTTTCACAATGTTGAAACAGCAAGCACTGCAAGTTTTTATTCCTGCGGTCAAAGACAAGGCGAAAAGCAGGTGAAGAGTGATTGCAAAAGCCAGAGTCCTCTGGGATTACAATCGCTACAAAGTCCCCTAAGGAGTGTGTTGGCTGCGTCTGGACTTACGTTTCGCAATGATGTACTGTGCCTGTCGTCAGGCGCCCGCCCATACCTCGAGCTGCGAGAAAGTCGTGGGGAGGTCAGCCACTCAAGCAGCACCGAAAAATGCCGTGGCAGGGTTGGCTATATCGTCTGATCCAGGTTTGACGAGGGAGGCCCGAACCAAGCTGGGCTTTGAGTGAAGCCTCGACATCAGCAGGGTGTTGAGGCTTCACTCAAACGAGCTTTAAGGAAGGCCTGTCTAGAAAATCATTCCTTAATGTCCGTTGCAAAAGGGTGCCTTGTTCATACTTTGCAGTAGCAGAGGATAAAATTTGGGACGCAGTCTTTTCTTGAAATGGGCTTTAGTCCCTCTTTATGGTTCCAGGTGTTGCTTGGGGTCTCAGGACATGACAGTCTCGGCACCTCCTTTAGGGAGTCTGCATAAAACGCGAAAAAGGTGTGGTGAAAAAAAATGAAAGACGTTTAAGATTCCCTGTAATGCCAAATTACAGCGCAGCTCTTAAGGAGGAGGAGGGGAGGGTGCGGAGAGGAGGATATACCCTCCTCCTTCTTTCTCTCCCCTCCTCCTCCTCTCATTCTCCTCCCCTTCCCTCCCTCCACCTTCCTGCCTCGTGACCCTCGTGACGTCACTCGTAAAAGCCTCGTCAAGGCCGTGACCTTCGTTGTGACCTT